ACAGACGCACCGCACCTACCCTATTTCAAAATGCGATTTACCTTACTTGCAAGATTTCCTGCATAATATGAATGTTTATTTATTAGAGCTGCATATGATAGCTGATAGTAATATAGTCGAGTAGTTATCTTTGTTCTTCCTCAATCTATATCATTATCCAGGAAAAACCCATTTTTTATTCTGTCAGTCATCAGGAATGCCGAACATTCATTACGAGACTTTCAATAAGTACATTATGTATGTATTTCTGACACATTATGTACCTTGCGGCTTCCATTATGTTAATTGGGTGTAGTTGTCTACTTAGTGCATTGAAGCTTTGCAACTCAAAAACTTATAAACTACCGCAATGAACGTAGTGCTTCGTTGTTCGTCTTTCTTCGGTATTACACCATTTTATGATTACTGGAACCACAAAGTGGTTCACAAAAAACTTATCCGGCTTTATGGATCAATTATCATCACAGTCCATGGTGCATTCTTTTGCAATTCGGCATACAGATTTTGGAGAGATGGGAACTCGGATAGTAACATTGATATACTGTTGAGCATCTCCATGTGGTTCAACGTCTTTATGCTCTATACTATTAATGTGGTGATGACATTTTGGAACACTGGTGACTGGAGGAGGTTTGCTAAGAAGTTGCAGTATTTGGGAGGAGATCGCTCCCACTTTGATGACAAGCTGAACAGTGTGTTTTTGGTGTTCGTAGTCCAGAGCATCGTGTCTATTGGAATGGTGGTCTTGCAGTTACCTTTCACCATCGAAGGAGCCGTACCAATTTACGATTTGATACGAACTTGGACAATCGTCATACTTGATTATTGCCATGGATTGATCTGCGATATTATGTGCCTTGTACTTTTGATCGTGAGAAGAAGAATGGTCGAGATGAATGAACAATTATCCAATGGGAAACCCACAAACAAAGGGCTCAAAGCTATCACGCATTACTTTAACGAATTCAACGAATTCACGAGTCAGTTCAACCGATTATTTTCCTGGCAGATATTGCTCCTGTCACTCAATTCTGCGTTGACGTTGCTGTTTATTTTTGGAATTGAATTGCTACAATCGAGTCTTAATCTTGGTGAGAGCCAAGGAACTGGAATACGACTGTTGATAAACAAGATCGGTTTCATAGTATACAGCCTGGTAGGTTTTGCAAACGACACAAGACTCTACACAAAAGTAATAAAGCTTTATTAACAAGTTACAGAACAGACTGCAGGGTGATTCTCAGTGATAGGCCGTAATTACAAAGTAGTTACTCAACTGAATTTACCTAGAAAAGTTTACATAAGCGTAGTAAGAAGTCTGTTTTATAGGTCTTATAAGAAACTGTTTAACAGTTCGATTACCGGTGGCGTCCCGGGAGTAGTCTCGCGCATAATATTGTCAAAAGAATATACGTCATTGATTTTTGAATAAGCTGTATGTTTTGAATATCTCAAAAAAGCTAGATTCATCTATAATACGCAACCCCCAAATTTCGTTTTTCTATTTTCAATAAAATTATAGGGGTGAGCTACCTTGGAGAATGACCCGGTATATTACCATAATTTCAACCCATAAACAACTTTAATCAAGTACTATTTCTCAGTAGAACCCAAAAGCCACAAAAAGATTTTTTTGAGGGATAAAAATGGAATGGTTTTATACATATATCGTGAAGGACATATTCAACAACAGCTATATTTCTTACAGGTCGGTCCATTAGCGGTTATGCTATGTTGCGATTCTACGATCAATGAATCGAGAAATATTGTGAAGATTTGCTATGCTCTAGCGCAAACTGAGGCATACACTGGAGAAGATAAGCACGAGCTGAGGTTGATCGTAGACCAATACAATAGTGACCCACCAAGGTTTACTGCTGCTGGATTCTTTGAAATTAATCGATCCAACATATTGTCTTTCTTCAGTGCTACGGCGACGTATCTCATTGTCATCATACAAATGAAAAGCATGTAGAATGCCAGAATTCCGAGGATTTTGTTTACTGCACCAACTTATCCCTTGCAATCTCAGTCCCATTTGCAAATGTAATCACTGCTAAAAGCTACCAAGGTATCAGCTTTACCATTTAGCATATTAGAGAGATCTACAAAGAATCTCACTTATCGGACCCTGCGAAGTTGTTTCTCGTTTCTAGTCTCACATCATACAAACTCATATCTTGACACGAAAATTGTAACACTTATTCCTCATTTCAAAGTGTTGCGAAATAAGTGTACTTGAACAGAATAAAAAAATGTATCAACTTGTTATGAGTACACATTTTGAAAATCATGTGGAATATACACAACAACTGATATTTCTTTTTCGATTACCTTTACATGGCAAACATTTTGTTATTAACACAGTTTCTTTAAGACGATACCTATAGTGAAATCTCCAACTGGTCCATAAACTGGCATCATCTTTCACGAATAAATTGTGTTGTTAATGTATATTTAGAGTAAATAAAGTAAATTCATCCTAATCAAAACCGAAGTTTTTTGCTATCACATCGTGGTCGAAGCTCTAGTTGTGTTGAAATCTCTTCGGGAAGAGCAAACCTTTTAAGCTTACAGTCTTTTTTAGCTACCTCAAGAAACTCGTACTAAGCTTTTAGTTTTTATAAGCAGTTCATTTACCGGCAATAGATACAAGGGTCACTAGCCACGGAGAAATCATTTCAAACACTATATAATATAAAAAGTTTCATATAACAAGGGGATCAAAACTGCATTTTTTTAGAGAAAAGCGACTTAAAGTAAAATAAAATCTGACAACGCCGCAATGCCAGACGCAAATTACGACGGAACCCAGTGTAAATAGAGACGGAGTTTGTTATTTTTGGCACTAAGGTATTATTTTATTATTTGATAGTGTACTCGTCAAAAAACGGACTTACCAGTAACTGTCTCAGTGCTTCGCCTGGTGTGTGAAAGTTGTTTAAACGTATTAAAAAAATCCACATATGAATAGGGAACACAATTTTGATACATACATTATTTTTCTTTTTAAAACCCACACTGCACTTTTTTGCGTTTAAAGAAGGTGTTCAAAATATCGTCCTCCACTTTCCAGACAAGCTTCATTACGACGAACCCAGTTTCTTCTTACTCTAGGTCCTCGAAGCTGTCCGTTTATTATTTGAGCCGCATTAAAATTTTTTTCGCGAAGTTGTACTTCAGTTGTTATTGGACCAGCCCTATAAACCGTCCCTTTAAGTTCTCCCCAATACCAGAAGTCCATCGGATTGAGGTCAGGAGATCTTGGTGGCCATTTTCGAGGATCAGGAGCATTTTGACCGATCCAACGATTTGGATAATGTTCATTCAAGTACTGAATGACGCCTTTAAAAATGCGTGGTGGTGCCCCGTCATGAAGAAACCACAAATTCTGTCTCCGTTGTAATGGCATGTTGTCTAAGGTCTGTTCCAAAAGCTCTGGTAGGTTATTGGCCAGAAAGCTAAGGTATCATTATCCTGACAACTTTGGGGGTAACTGGAAGGGGCCAATTACCTGATCGTCAAGAATACCAGCCCAAGTATTTATTTTAAAACGTTGTTGGAAATGACCTTCACGAATGTTATGAGGATTTTCTTGGGCCCACGAGTGAGTATTACGGAAATTTAATATCCCGTCTCGCGTAAAAGTACATTTGTCGGTCGTAAGAATATTTTTAAAAAATCCGGAGTTTTAAGTGTTTTGTGCAAAAACTACTGACAGAATTCTGGTCTGCGGGGATGGTCTGATAACAAGGCCTGCATTCGTTGTACATGGTAGGGATAAAGCAAATTTTCCCGTAGGATTCTATGGACTATGGTATGGGATAGTTCTACGCGGCGGCATAATTCCCTAGTGCTGATATCTGCATTGATTTCCACGGTATTTAAAATTCGTTCCTCCTGCTCTACAGTAACCTGTCTTTCACGAGTGCGAATATTAGTGGACTGAACAGTCTTTGGTACACTTGCACAAATGTCCTTCTGTCTGGCTGTACCCGTTGGGGAAATCTGTCGCTATAAATTTGAGCTGCAAGATTTGAATTCTGACGAGCTTCACCGTAAACTAACAACATGTCGGCGAACACTTGATTCATTCGAGAACATTGTAAATAAAAGCGACCGACGCGCTGTTGTCATGTGTGTTTTTAATATTTAATTTAATGAAACTTACTTACTGACTACAAATGTTGGCTTATCTTAGAAGAACTTAATGCCATATATTTGTTAATTACCAAATTTAAAAATGATTTAGATTAGATTATAAAAATTAGTAAGATTGTGGTCGATATCAAACACTTAAAGTTGTAAACTATAAAGCCATTTAGACAAAATCTGTTGACTTTTGGACCATGGGTCATATCAACCTTTTGACTTGTTTATTTCAATAATGGCTACCATAACGTTTACACCCTGTATATTCTATATATTCTCACTTCATTTTGGGACTCAAAAATGTGCTTATTTCAGAGATCGGATGTTATTATTTTAAATCGCTAATGCTATAATGTCAGCCAGAAACGAGCATGGAATGATTACATGTTTACTTTTTGATCGGTTATACTTGATAAAGGCTACATTACATTTATTGGTCCAAAATTATACCTTTGAACATCGTGTATCGAAACATGTATTGGTGGAGGATGTTATTTGCCTCCGAAACTTGAAAATAGGCGGAGCTTACACTTCTGAGAGAATTGAAACGTCTTTCAAGTATGATATACCAGGCGGTCCAAAAAATCTATGGATTGTCTGAGGATGTTTTCTATGTAGAAAAATATTGCAGTGTTTTTAACACCGTCCCCAGATACTCATTTTTTTTAATCTACCAAGTTGTCTAGCTGGTATTTTTTGACAGCGGAAAGCTTTAATAGCCACTCTCCTGCAGAAAAACTCGACAGTATTGCCCTGCCGACCCTTCCTACCCAAAGTGTGAGATTCTCCTGAAATAGCATACTCAGCATTCCACTATGGTAATACATACATACCTTATGTATGTACATGGAGAGCTAGTAGGCTTTCTCGTGAGCCGCGCAATGCGCAAGAGATGAGGTGGGTGGACACAGAGTAGGGTCATTCCCCATATCTCTCTCGTTCAGATTCAGTCCTAAAAACATTGGGGAACACCAGCAGCTGGTCTACAACGTGTATGACTAGTGTATGGAGTTGAACGCGTGCATCCAACATATACCATGTTTGTGTTTAATTTCATGATTACGGAAATTTCCTAATCCTATAAGCATTGTAATAAATATCATCTAGAAAAGAGAGTTAAAAAACAAACATAACTGCTCTGCTTATTCTGTGATTACATGAAATGTAAGGATTTCCTTGTCAGTTTTTTTTTGACAAATTACTGATGAAAAATATATTTCTACGTAATAAACAAAATAAGATACTTGAACATCCGTTTTAGTTTGACTGAGTTAGAAGTCCCAATGCTAAGTGTTTGGCATCCTAAATAGTCAAATCACCATGTGATTCCTGACGTCCAATTCGGTTTTCGGTCCGAGCATAGCACCGAGCTACAGGCAGTCAGGCTGGTGGAGCATGTAACCAGAGGGTTCACCCTTAGCATGAGTACTGGCATCTTGCTTTTGGATGTCTCAAAAGCCTTTGACAAGGTGTGGCACGTGGGCCTCCTCTATAAACTAATCCAAAAGGGTTTTCCTTTTTGGCTTCTAAAATTACTGAAATCCTTTCTTGAAGGAAGGAAGTTTCGGATCAAAATTAACAATGTTTTGTCAACAACACGGCCAGTACGGGCCGGTGTTCCTCAGGGTTCGGTCCTAGGACCAATTCTTTATTCGCTATTCATCCATGATGTCCCTTCCCCCAGCAACTGTGAAGTCTACCTCTATGCTGACGACACTGCACTTGTCGCCCAGTCGTGTACTGATGATCTGGTTCACGATGGGTTGCAGAATGCAGTGGACGAAGTTCTAGAGTGGGCAGAACGGTGGATGATAAAAATTAATCTTTCGAAAACGCAGGCTATTTATTGTACCAAAAAACGTCGCGGCCCCCCAGCAGAGGTTTCTGTAGACGGAAATCGTGTACCATGGACAAATTCTGCCAAGTATCTCGGTGTCACCCTTGATAAAGGCATGACCTGGCAGAAACATACAGCATCCATAAAAACAAAATTCCAAATTGCGTTTCGGCAACTATATCCTTTGTTATGTAGATCCTCCAAATTGAGTTTGATAAACAAAGTTCGACTATATAAAATGATTATTAGACCAGTCATTACTTATGCATGTGCGGCTTGGTGCTTTCTTGCCAAGACAAACATGCAAAGTCTTCAAGTACTGCAAAGCAGAACTTTGCGGACAATTTGCAACGCTCCATGGTATGTCTCAAATGAGACACTACACAGAGACCTTGACATTCCTTACTTGAGGGACTATGTCAAGCTTCAGGCGCAGCGACGTTATAGTCAAGCGGAATCGCACAGCAACCCTCTGTTGCGTGACTCAGTGGACTACACAGTGGAGCAAGTTCGTAAACATTCAAGGCCACGGCTCGCACTGTAATCAAAAGTTAGCGTGAATCTTTAGTAAACTCAAAATTACACTCTAACAAAACCGAATCAAAAATTTGTTTAGTTCACCTCAAAATTAATCCGTGTACCAAGTCAAAAAGCCTAGGTGTTTCCTCTTAAACTAAGCATATCTGTTTTTCTTTGCTCTTCTCCTTTTTTTTCTCTTTCCCTTTCTCTTTTTCCTCGACTTTGTCTGGTTTCTGGGCAACCAGGACTGACAGATTCGTCTAACGTACATCAGACAGTGACTAATGGCCAAAGGTCCTACGGACCGCCCAGACAAATAAATGACGAATAGTACCGTCCCCCGATACTCATTTTTTTAATCTACCAAGTTGTCTAGCTGGCATTTTTTGACAGCGGAAAGCTTTAATAGCCACTCTCCTGCAGAAAAACTCGACAGTATTGCCCTGCCGACCCTTCCTACACAAAGTGTGAGATTCTCCTGAAATAGCATACTCAGCCGTACGCCACGCATTCCACTATGGTAATACATACATACCTTATGTATGTACATTGTACATGGAGAGCTAGTAGACTTTCTCGTGAGCCGCGCAATGCGCAAGAGATGAGGTGGGTGGACACAGAGTAGGGTCATTCCCCATATCTCTCTCGTTCTCAGATTCAGTTAAAAACATTGGGGAACACCAGCAGCGGGTCTACAACATGTATGTCTGTACAGTGGCGTAGTTATAGGGTTTATTCAATGGTATGGAGTTGAACGCGTACATCCAACATATACCATGTTTGTGTTTAATTTCATGATTACGGAAATTTCCTAATCCTATAAGCATTGTAATAAATATCATCTAGAAAAAAGAGTTGAAAAACAAACATAACTGCTCTGCTTATTCTGTGATTACATGAAATGTAAGGATTTCCTTGTCAGTTTTTTTTTGACAAATTACTGATGAAAGCCAGCTAATACGCAATTTGTTCGAAAATATATTTCTACGTAATAAACAAAATAAGATACTTGAACATCCGTTTTAGTTTGACTGAGTTAGAAGTCCCAATGCTAAGTGTTTGGCGTCCTAAATAGTCATCTTCATTGATACTATGTGATGACAGCTGTAGGTCAGATTCATCGCTGTCATGGAATATTTTTATAATAAATTGCTGGACGTTATCCCTTATAACGTATATCCCCGACTTAGGTATTCTTCCTCCACTGCATGGTCGCAAACGTTTCTCCATGTTTCTGGAGTGACGCGATCTAATGCTTGTTTCCATGGGCAATGATTAAATATTTGCCTTTTACAAGTGGTGCTTTTAAGCAATTATCTGATCCATCATCCCATGCTTTCGGTACTGTGTGTGAGCTTTGTATGTATGTTTCGTCATTGTAAACGATATTATTTCTGCCTACAAAAGTTTTTTTTATGGTTAAAAACAAATTCTCTTATACTGAAAAACATCATGAATTTTGTATTCGTGAGTCGTTTCAAATATATCTACACACCTAGAACTTCGTACTCTTTCAGTCTTCCCAAGTATTCTGTCCGTTTCGCTCTGATCTCCGGCTTCTCAATCAGTACCCTCCTGTTATTTCCAACGGCAGCACAATTTGCGTATTATTTTCCAGAATGACGTGACTTTCCATTAAGAGTTACACCATCGCTGATAACAGCGTCGTATACCGCCTTCATCGTAGGTCTCCTTTTACGGACATGCTCGAGCTTGTACGAATATATGACATTTCTAATAATTTCTTCATCAAATTGATCGAGGAGCAAATTTTTGTATTCGGTGGTTTGAAGTGATTTTCTTTAACAGCACGCTCCACAGTATTTATGGATACACCTGTAGCTTCAGCTACTTTCTCAAATAAACGGCGCTAAGAGCTATGGTTAATTCTTTTGTTTCCTTTTCTCGCTTGATATATTCAAACACATTGAATTATAATTTGTCGTCCTTGGCTATGAACAACTTTCTTGTTATTTCGTTCCCTATTTTTGAAAGATAATTTTTTATGCAATGTTTCATCTGCTAATTTATAGTATCTTACGTTTTGCCTGCCAGATCTACTGGTAGTCTTGAAAAAGACTGGGTTCCAGTTTTTAAGATAATTAAAAATACTACCTCTGGAAAAATTATAAGAACGCATATGTTACGCTGATGTTACCCGTTCGACCTCCAAGAGCATAATAGTTAGAAAAACCTATAATATTTTTACCTAATGTAGTAGCGCCTTTCCAGCGTATTGTTTCTGCAGTCTGCGCATTCAAGGCCACAGCTCACGAGATTCTGAGTTACCTCTACAACCGAGCAAAATGGAAACCTGGTATTGGTTCCTTCATCTATTTTTGTTCTCCTGTACCTTACAAAGCATCACTTTTCTCACTGTTGGTTGTATCAACCCATTTTTCCTCGCGTATAATGAAAATAATAATAATAAACCGTCTTTTATTTTTAAAGAAAATTCAGTATAATAAAATAATGTATATAAAGGGTGTCTCAGAAATATTTTCGTTTTTAGATCAGTAATCTGGCGGAATACGCATGCTCCGGAGAAACGAGACAGTTGACAAACGTTTGGCAACATTGTTAAATTTTAGTTGCAATGGAGCGTTTTACAGGGCCGCAACGTGCTTTTTGTGTTCGCGAGTTCTATAAAAACAAGGATTCTTATGTGCTTGTACGTCGTTTGTACAGAAATCATTATAACATAGCAAGAATGAGAGATGTCCCAAGCGCAAATTTAATTAAATATTGGGTAAGAAAGTTCGAGAGCACTGGAAACACGTGTATTAGTAAACCGCCTGGACGGCCAAGGTCAGCAAGATCGAACAAAAATATTGAACGTGTGTGCCAGTCCGTTAACGAGGATCCCCGGCAATCATTAAGACTGCGTGGAGCATCTCTAACTTTGCATAAGTCAACTGTTCATCGCATTATTCGCAAGGATTTGCATTTTCACCCATACAAGATTGTTGTTACACAACAATTAAAACCACAAGATCCCGCTAATCGATTAGAGTTCTGTAGAACAATGAGAGAGCATTTTAACGGTTACAACAACATATGGTTTTCTGATGAATCGAATTTTCACATTAACGGGCATGTTAATAAACAAAACTGCCGATATTGGGCCGAGCAGAACCCGCAAAATCTTCATGAGACGCCATTACACTCGCCTAAAGTTATCGTCTGGGCTGCTATGTCAGGGCAAGGAATCATTGGCCCGTATTTTTTTGAAGACAATCGTGGCCAAGCTCAAACTGTAACATCTGAGCGCTACTGCCACATGATTAGGACTTTTTTAACTCCAGCTATACAGAACCATGGTGGCTACAATAGAAACACGTTTTTCCAGCAAGATGGAGCGACTTCTCATGTCACGAATGAATCCTTGGATGCTCTTCATCAGTTATTCCCAGAGAGGGTCATCAGTCGCAGAGGAGACATTAACTGGCCACCGAGAAGTCCCGATTTGACACCAGCAGATTTTTTCTTATGGGGATACCTGAAGAGTAAGGTATACACCCCACCGCCACAAGATTTGAGAGAGTTGAAGCAAAAAATAACAGATGAAATAAACGCCATTCCTCGAGCAATGCTTCGGAGAGTGATCGAAAACTTCAGTTCGAGATTAAGAGAGTGTGAAAACATGAACGGTGCTCATTTATCCGATACTCTTTTCCATAAATAAAATTAATGTTTAGGCTTTCGTTTGGTAATAAATTTATCTTTATAAAAATATTCTAAGTATTTTTATTTATGGCATAAAATAAGAAAATATTTATGAGACACCCTTTACGTATAATACCAGTGGCGAAGTCTAGCTGACAGCTACTCTACTCAACCACTGGAGGGGAGCACCCAAATAATTGAATAATTGAATTTGTTATTAAATAACATGTAATTACATATGTCAAAATCAATGAGGTAGACAGAAAAAGTATCCATATGATGAATAACATAGAGCAACACAGGTAATCGCAGTAAAACATACATGTACAGATTATGCTTTTAACTTTTAAAAACTATACAGGACGCAGAAAGAAAGGTACAACACATTCTATGTTAAACAGATCTAGCCACACTTTTGATATCAATATTGCTTTCATATATACTTATACAGGGTGACTTTGAAGTTGAGTCATTAATTTTCAGATAATGATTGTAGAAGGAAGATAAACCAGAATATGTGTGTAAAAATAAAAAAAAATAAAAAAAAAATTTTTACCTTGTTTTATAAAGTATCCTCCCGACAAGTATTTCAGTGCGGACCTGTATTTGATCGTGAGGTCCCTTGTGAGGTCTTAAGTCACCTGATTCACGAGCCCGTTGTACTACATTAACAAAGGCACGAGGGGTTGGTTGCACTCGATTGGGAAACCGATCCGCATAAACATGTGCCATTTTTTATTTCGTTTGAGCCACGCAACAGACGCTATTCACACGCTAACCGACAGACAGTGACTGTATGTATAACTGAACTGAATAAAATACTTTACTTACTACTGCAAAAACATCGTTCCAAATTCTTTCGCTTTTTTGTTTCCGATGCGATGAACCGGTAAGGCGGATTATATCCGTTGTTGCCAAACACGAGTACATGATATTATTATTGAGACAGGGCGGTACTCAAACTTCCAAAGGGCTATAACTTTGTTACTTTAATTTTACCAGAAAAATGGTAAAGGAAAAAAACATTTCTTTTGATCAGATCTACTCACTGTTAAAATAAATGACTCAACTTCGAAGTCACCCTGTATACATACACACATATTTATATATATATATATACACATATACACGTATACACACACATATAGGGGTTACACAATAGTAAACAGATAAAAAGCTGAATATACAACATTGTATCATTGATCCTACTACATATCAACCAAATAACGTTTTAGTTCATATTAAGAAGCTTGAATTCTTGTGGTAGCTGATTATACATCCTGATAGCATTATATATGAACGATCTTTGAAACATGGCGGTCTTATGCTGCGGAACAATGTAGTTCAATTTTGATCTTATATTTTGATGATGAGTGTCTTTGCGAGGTATGAAATGTTTGATCAGACCTGGAGAATTTGGAGTGTTGACCAGTTTATGCGTAAATTTACACAGGTGAAGGAGTCTCCTATTTTTCATGTTAAGCCATTCACATTCTCTGATTTTGTGTGATATGGGGTCATACTTCCTAATTCCGTATACCAGCCTATAACAGCTATTTTGAACCCTTTGTATTTTCGTTGTCAGCACTAGTCAAGAACGGCCCATAAACAAAGCTACAATAGTTGAAATTACTAAGTACCAAGGTCTCACATAAAGTTTTTCTTTTTAGTTTTTTACTTAGGAAATGTCGACTGCTATAAATGCTTTTGAGGGAACTAAATGCTTTATTTACAAGCTTTTGAATATGGAGTGAGAAACGAAGGCTTGGATCAACAGTTAATCCTAAATTACGAGAAGAATCACAGAAACTAAGCACTTTGCTTGTAATTTTCCACGAAAGAGCGTCCTTTGAAATATTTATACTAATTTTGTTGCCAAAAAGTATTTCTTTTTTTATCGTTTGAAGCTCTTCATTCCGAGTTAATTCTGCTGCAGCTCCGTCTTTCATAGAAAAGCTAAAGTAAACTTGAATATCGTCAGCGTACGATTGTACCTTGACGTTTTGTATCTGTCTTAGGATTTTTGCTGTGTATATTATGTATAACAAAGGCCCAAGTATGGATCCTTGTGGCACCCCTGACAGGACATCTGTGCTTGCCGAATAAGAACTATCAATGTGAATTTTCTGGGAGCGTCTAGGTAAGTAGCTCCTTACTAAAAATAGTTAGGGGTCAGTAAAACCATAGCAGTTGAGCTTTGAGCACAACAATTCATGAGTGATGGTGTCAAAAGCCTTGGAAA